TTCCAGGAATTGAGACCGGCTCTTCAAATCCAGGAACAATTGCCATTGACGCTTCGGGAAAACATATTGTTTGGTCTTCCGCAATGACGACGTACTGGTCGACCCTGCAGGCAATTACGCCGCGTTCGAATGAATCCGGTCCATATGTCACAGACGACCTAGGGCAGACTTGGGTGTCTCCAACCGGATTAAGCGTCCATACTCCCAATATCAGTGCCGATAGGGTCCAACCGAGAACATTCTACTCCTTCACTGATGGGGTGTGGTACATAAGCAGGGATGGTGGCCTATCGTACCACGCTTTCGAGGCTAAAGAGGTTGGGCTACCAGAGTACCCCGGTGCGGTGCCAATTGCAAATTTCAACAGAGCAGGAGAGATATGGCTTGGGCTTGGCGATTTAGGAGTTTATCATACCCGTAATTATGGGATGAGATGGACTAAAATCACTGGGCATGGTGTAACAGCAAGGCAGTTGACAATTGGTGCTGGCGCGCGTGGTTCCTCGAGGCCAGCGCTGTTCCTTCTCGGGAAAACTGCAAGTAAAGGCCCTTATAGCAAAGATGGGGTATATCGATCGGATGATAATGGGAAGACCTGGGCACGGGTCAATGACGATGAGCACCAGTATGGTGGAATTGCTATAGTCCAGGGAGACCCTCGTGTCTACGGGCGTGTTTATCTGGGCACTGGAGGTCGTGGTATCATATATGCTGATATAAAGGAAAGCCAGTCCAGGAACTGAGGAACTGATTCTGGATAGGATAGTATCGTGGCGTCTTGGGCGCCGGTGAATCTCAATCTAGAACCATCAGTCTTCAGCACAATATTTCGTAGAGCCAGGCCTTTTGGGCCAAAATAGCCAAAGTGAACAAGTGGATGGATATTGTTGGTCTTGCCATTAGATGCATTTCCAGTTGCACCATGTCCGGCACACAATAATACGATCGAAGTGATGCCGATTCATACGAGCCGTAGTCCGGCATTGGCCCGATCTTAAGAGCTCGGTGTGAATCCCGAACAAGGCACCGTTGGGGGCTCGGGGAAATGGACACCGAGACGCTAAGATCTCTTCCAGCTCAATTTAATCGGGGAAGTGTCCGGCGAGGCTTGGAACAATGGAAACCAGGACGGGACCCGGAGTTGGTCAACTTAGTTGTTGTTCGTCTGTTCAATCGCAAAGTCGGCAATTGAGACTTCCCAAGTGGGTGTACAAATGGGGCAATTGTCAGGTGATTTCCGGCATTTGAGTACCGCTTACGTCATGATCTTGAGTAGCCGACAGAGCACGTGATCAATTGCCGATGGTTATTGTCGCCTATGGACCGATATACTTTTATGTAAATAGTATGAGATTGCTTGCCATGAAAACGTGCGCATAATGCATGATTTAGATGGGTTGAGCGGAATTGTGCGGCATCAGTTTCGTGCCGTTGTTCCATGGCATGCCCAAGGTCATTGAGAACCCGTGCTCGGTCCGAGGTACTCAATCGGTGCTTGAGGGATTGGAGCGAGACTGGCAGTAAAGGTGAAGGAGCTCAGGAGCTAAGCAGCGAACGGAATTTTATGTGAAAAGCTACCATTTACAGTGTAATTATTCCGTGCTAGGGCCGCTCGGTACTTCTGGTAGAAATCCCCGGTCAATGCTACTCAGGCAGACAGACCCTCTGACCCGGATATCGTCACATCAAACATAAAAGGCTAGCAGCTTGGGCAGTCCAGACTCCATCGCTGTGATCCAATGAAATGAGCTATAATTACAAAGCTGAAGACTTCCCCAAGTTAACTTATGGAAAGCCGAGGGGACGACGACGACACGCCTGGAGCAAGGCTGGGGTTTTGCATGTGAAAGCAGAGGATGTCATCGATGGCACCGAATGACCTTCTGAAAAGGGGGCCTTGTCCAATGGATAGGTCGCATGTGAAGTTTGATAACTGATGATCCAAAGGTCCGATCAGGCAAGCATGCGCAACATGTTGGAATAAAGAGGGGATCGATGATGATGTCGAGGTTGGATGGACAAACCAGGATGCGCGAAATGAATTTTACTAAGTGAAGCCCACTCTCCCCAGAGTCCCATCGCGAGCTCCCGTCCCCATACTCCCGCCCAAATACGGGGAACAAGAACATAGGAACTCAACAAACGCGTAGAGAGGGATCCAAGAATAAAAATAGTAGTGCGCGTTTATTAAACTCAACCCGATAGATTAGCTCACGCAATATTAAGTAATACAGTGCATATTCAGGGAGGCCGTCTGTCGGTCGGTCGTCGCAGGCCGTACCGTCTGGAAGCCCGTCTGTGAGCCTCGGCCGAAAAAGCGCCTTTCTCCCCCGTCGGCTTCTGAACAGTTTCCTCTCTTAAGTTCTGCTTCTCATCCCTCCGCTCTTCTTCTTTCTTCACTCTCCCACCTTTCTCCCCCCTTCTCTCCCCCATATTATCCTTTTATAACTTCACATTTCAATCATGGCTCCCAGAGTAATTGTTGTCGGTGGTGGATGTGAGTTGCCTGTCCTCTCTCATGACGTCCCCGCATTGACTGACGCCTCCCAGTGTCCGGTCTGAGTGCCGCCCACACAGTTTACCTGAACGGTGGCAATGTCCTCGTTCTCGACAAGCAAGGTATGTCGCTGAAATCCCCCTTCCCCGATATGTTCGTCCGTAAGCGTCAGTCCGAGCTTTGGGGAACATGCATTCCAGTTGCGAACAGCCGAGGCTAACCTTCTCCAGCCTTCTTCGGTGGCAACTCAACAAAGGCCACCTCTGGTATCAACGGTGCTCTCACTCGCACCCAGGTTGATCTCGGTATTCAAGATAGCGTGAAGCAGTTCTACGATGATACCCTGAAGTCCGCCAGAGACAAGGCTCGCCCCGACCTCATCAAAGTCCTCACATACCAGTCCGCTTCCGCCGTTGAGTGGCTGCAGGATGTCTTCAACCTCGATCTCACTCTTGTCTCTCGTCTCGGGTAAGTTCCGCGCTGGTTTCTGCACAGGCGATTTAATAGTGGCATTGCATGCTGACCCTCGAAGTGGCCACTCTCAGCCCCGAACCCACCGTGGTCACGATGCCAAGTTCCCTGGTATGGCCATCACATATGCCCTCATGCAGCGCCTAGAGGAAATCGCGGAGGCTGAGCCCGACCGCGTTCAAATCATCAAGAAGGCCCGTGTCACTTCAATTAACAAGGAGGGTAACACTGCTACTGGCGTCACTTTCGAGGCGGACGGCGAGACCAAGTCCGCCGACGGTGTGGTGGTGTTGGCTACTGGTGGTTATGCTGCTGATTTCGGCGACTCATCACTCCTCCAGCAACACCGCCCCGACACATTCGGACTGTCCAGCACCAACGGCACTCACGCCACGGGTGATGGCCAAAAGATGCTGATGTCCATTGGTGCCAATGGTATTGACATGGACAAGGTACAGGTCCACCCTACAGGTCTCGTTGACCCTAAGGACCCTACCGCCAAGTTCAAGTTCCTTGCCGCTGAGGCCCTCCGTGGTGAGGGTGGTCTTCTCCTTAACTCTGACGGCCAGCGATTCTCTGATGAGCTTGGCCACCGTGACTATGTCTCCGGCCAGATGTGGAAGGAGAAGGAGAAGGGCAAGTGGCCAATCCGCCTGGTTCTTAACAGCAAGGCCTCCAAGGTTCTTGACTTCCACACCCGCCACTACTCTGGTCGTGGTCTGATGAAGAAGATCAGCGGCAAGGAGCTTGCTAAGGAGATTGGCTGTGGCGAAGCTGCCCTCCAGAAGACCTTTGATGACTACAACGCCATTGCGGATGGCAAGAAGAAGGATCCCTGGAACAAGCGCTTCTTCCACAACCTCCCCTTTAACGTTGATGACGAATTCCACGTTGCCCTCATGGAGCCCGTGCTGCACTTCACCATGGGTGGTATCGAGATCAACGAGCGCGCTGAGGTCCTCAACTCTGAGCAAAAGCCTTTCGATAGTCTCTATGCTTGTGGTGAACTTGCAGGTGGTGTCCACGGCGCCAACCGTCTCGGTGGCTCTTCTCTGCTTGGCTGTGTCGTCTACGGTCGTGTGGCTGGTGCCAGCGCTAGCCAGCACCTTTTCAAGAAGCTCACCGCTGGCAGTGGTTCTACCGCCCAGCAACGTCTGGGCCAAATCTCGCTGCACATTGACCCCGCTACCCCTGGCAAGATCTCTGTTGAATGGAATGGTGCTAGCGGTGCCCAGGCTTCGACCGGTACTATCCCCGCTGCCTCAACGGCTGCTCTCCCCGCTAATGCTGATGCACCTGCTGAGACATCCAAGCCGACGACTAAAGCCAAGCCGTTCTCCATCCCCGAGACTGAGTACTCGATGGAGGAGGTTGCCAAGCACAACAATAAGGAGGACATGTGGATCGTCGTCAAGGGCATCATTCTTGATGTGACCAACTGGCTGGATGAGCACCCCGGTGGCGCCAACGCTCTGTTCAACTTCATGGGGCGTGACGCGACAGAAGGTAAACAATCACAACCCCCTTATGTACAAAAGAATACAGTGCTAACGAAACTTGCAGAATTCGAGATGCTCCACGACGACGAAGTCATCCCTAAATATGCTCCTCACATCGTTATCGGCCGGGTGAAGGGTCAAACTCCTAGCCTTGAATATTAAAGCATGGATAGATCGGGCATATCATATAAAAAGAAAACCCTACAATAACTACTTGGATACATACCCCTTACCTTTTCCTACTTACTCTGTGATGTCTTGGTTTTTGTCATGATACTAGCTATGTTTCTCTGTAAGATACAATCTACATTTTTGTTCCACATCTACTATTTAGTTCTCCCTGGTGTAGTTGTCCATTCTACTTGCTCCTTTCCTCGAAATTAAATTTTACTTGGCAGCGTCACTCAATACAAAGTCTACCTTAATTCCATGTTGCGTGCCTCGGCTATGTAAAAATCCGCCCTTCTCGGACTTTTGAAACACTACTATGACGGCACCTCGGGAATACTGAAGATCAAAGATTTAGCTGTTTGATGATGTTCATATAAATGGTACATATAATCTATTTTCACTTACACGGGGTATGGTATACATAGCACTAGTGGTCACAAAGGACATAAGCAGACATAAGTTACGTTGATGAGTTAGGTATCAATGCTGCATATGGCTCAAAATCATCTTCAGTCGTCGAACAGCGGGCCCGTCTTCGGTGCTGGGAGTATCTTTGTTGGACTCTATCTCCTTGGCGGCCGCCTCCAATGTAGGTCGTAAGTAACCCCAGACTTCGTCGTGGTATTTTTCCTCCACAGAGATCCAGTCCGCGGCGCCAGGGAGGCTTGTCAAGACCGTGTCCCGGAGGGACGTCGCCTGGCTCGTACTCGGATCTGTCGGTGAGGTCGCAGGAATTGTATCTAGGAATGACCCAATATCCGGGACGAGGCTGAGGGAATTAAGTTGGTGAGGTTGGTCGGTATTTTTCTGGGGTCCTGTTGACTCGGGTAACTGGCGTCGGAACGACTCGATCATTTGGACCTCATCTGGGGTAAGGTGGGAGGGTAATAGTTCTGTTTCAAGGTATTCTGGAGGCTCGTTCGCAGTGGGAGGGAAATCCGGATCGAAGGCTTGATCGCTAAGAATCGAGACTACGGCCTCGCCGTCAGATGGAACTAGGGTCGGTGTCACCGTTGTGTCATCATGGTAGCTTGTAAAATCAGGCCCCAAATTCAGCCCTCTTCCTTTGCCCTTCCCCTTGCCTGTCTCAAAACCATCAATCGTACCAGACAGGTCTCCACCGTATGTATTCTGGAATTCATCTTCCGTAAGTGCAGGTATCTCAAACCCTCCGGATCGCGCCGTGGAAGATGACCTGAAGGTTTCCGTGGGTCGATGGAAAGACTGATTTTGTGACGAGGATGAGGATGGACCGATTGTTTCTCCGTAATGTTCTGCAGCTGCTAAGGCTGATGAGGAGGAAGATGGTGTAGCCTTACTACTGTCTGACAGCAGATGTGCAGTATCTCCGGAGGGAGCAGACGAGAGGAATGCATTCCGGGCAAGTCCCGAAGCTGAATTCTGAATGCGCGACGCTAAAGATTGGCTATTCTGGTTCTCATTGTCAGGGCCCGTAGAGGTGTTGTCGCTATTGTTGTCGGGCTTGTGTTGTGCATTTGATCTTGGACGGCTGCTATCGTCAGATCTACCCCGCTTCTGGTGGTCGGACATGGCTTGGATGAGCTGGGCGGGGAGTCGGTCGGCCTGGTCGGAGCGGCACCGCCAGGAGCGGAAAGCTGTGAAGAAGGTGCGGCAGAGCTAGCAGAATCCTTCTAAAGAACCTTAGGGACTGGGAAGAGCAAAAAGGAGCGAGGTACAAAGTCAAGTCTTGCCGATAGCTCCAGCGACAGCTACTACGGTTCGGGTCAGAGAGGCCGGAATGAGTAGGAACGGTACAGGAAGAGCATGTGAAGAACTCTCTGCACGTCTAACTACAATTAATGGATTTTTGGGATACAATTGAACTACCGTCAAGGAGAGCAGTGTGTTCAACTCAAGATCGAAGTCGCGGCAAGCCAGGTGTACGCAGGCCAGTCACCAGGGCGTGCGAACGGCATACTCAAAAGTCGGTCGGGTTTGGTGAACAACGTGGGGTGTTGGAACAGGTACTGACGGGACGGGTTCTGGGTTGGGAAGCAAGATCTACGGAGTAATTGCGTAGGATTATATTTCTGGGAGCACTGGAAAGCCATGTATGCTCTAGTCTCCCGCCTTAGTCCTCATCCTCAATAGACCGGGCGAGGTGCTGGAGTGACGAAGATGGTTGATGTCAGCGCCCACTCTGGCGGTTGGGTTTACGGGCAGCCACTGCCAGTCTACCACTCCGAGACCACGACCTTCTCCCCACCACCACTGCAACGGGTCTTTCCAAACCGCCTCACCTCAGGATTCCACCATCCCCGTCATCATCCACACCCCTCCAACCCCGAACAACGCCCACGCTCATTCTGCTCGTCGACAGATCTCATAATCTGTTGCTGAAGACCGTGGTTGTTGCCGTCGCTGTTTGTTCGTCTGTTTTACGGCGAATTAATACTGGCTGTAGCCGTCTTCACCACCCGCAGGGATCACCAGAAGACGAAAAAATTATTCCTTCGACCAACAACCCCTCCTCTTCGAGCCTAGCCGGCCCAGGCTGTCAGTCATCTGCATTCTCTAGCTTGCAACTAACTGATTAGCCCTATTCGGTTCTGTTCGTCGTTGAGAGCTTGTTCCTCCTGCTGCCTCCGATCTGGCACTCCAAACCTTCCATATCTCCCCTCGAAGCTCGTTTGTCAGAGCTATTCGCCTTCGCCATCGAAATAATCTATCTTCTTCGACACGTTCCAGTTCGCGAGTCACACACACACCCCCGAACCCGATCGATTCCTGACGTCGTCTTTGTTTACGACCCGGTCCCCACGAACCCCGCTTATACTACCGCATTTCAAGGTCCAAGGCTCTGGATTTTGAAATATACCTTTTGACCACCAACATACTATCCAAAAAAGGGTCGTTCTTGAGAGAAAATGGTGGACAGGGATCCAGGTACACCTACCTGGAAATTCACGCAGTGAGTCTCACTTCCTGGTCCCTTCGAGTCCACCTCATATCTGCAGTACCTCTACCTATGCCCCAAACGATTTATAAAGGATTTTCGGGCTGGTTTTTGGGACGGGGTCGATAGACCCGCCGTGCCTTCCCATATACTGCAAGGTTGATATGTGGAACAGTTACTGATGGTTGTGTGTAGATGTTTTGGCGATAAGGGCGATGTCGAAGACATTACCGAAGGTATGCTTATTTTTTCAAAATTTGGGGAATATTCTCCTAGAACTAATACTTATATTTTCTCTAGCCGATATCATTTCTACAGTCGAGTTTGACCATACTGGAAACTATCTCGCTACAGGAGATAAAGGCGGGAGAGTGGTGTTATTTGAGAGAAATGAGACGGTACTAACGCCTTTTGTGTACGCCGGTAACTCGAGTATAACAGTGCTAACTATTGTAACAGAAAAAAACCTGTGAATACAAATTCCACACCGAGTTCCAGTCACACGAGCCAGAATTTGATTATCTAAAATCCCTAGAGATCGAAGAGAAAATCAACAAGATAAAGTGGTGTCGGCGACAAAATGCGTCACATTTCCTTCTGTCAACCAACGACAAAACAATCAAGCTCTGGAAGGTCTTTGACAAGTCTCTCAAAGTCGTTGCAGAGAACAACCTCTCTACGGAACTAACCCCTGGTGGCGTTGGTGGCGGAGGGGCGCCCAGGGCACCCCGTGTATCTTTCAAAGATCCTTCGGCATTGAAACTCCCAAGAATGACACATCATGATACGGTCGTCGCTGCTGTACCTAGACGAACCTACGCCAACGCCCATGCTTATCACATTAATAGCATCTCTGTCAACAGTGACGGGGAGACCTTCATAAGCAGTGATGATCTGCGGGTCAACTTGTGGAACTTGAATATTCAAGACCAGAGCTTCAACATTGTGGATATCAAACCGGCAAACATGGAGGAGCTTACAGAAGTTATTACAGCGGCGGAGTTTCACCCTACAAGCTGCAACTGGTTCATGTACGCGAGCTCGAAAGGGACCATCAAACTCGCGGATATGCGGCAGCGGGCTTTGTGCGATACGCACCACAAACGTATGTGTTTCTTTCTTCCATTCCCTTTTTTCCCAGCCCTTTTCCGAATCAACGAACGACTAATGGACCTTACCTATGATGTAGTCTTCGAACAAGAGGAAGATGCCTCTTCACGTTCTTTCTTCTCCGAAATCATCTCCTCGATATCCGACGTAAGGTTTTCCCACGATGGCCGGTACATTGTGTCACGAGACTACTTGACGGTGAAGATTTGGGACGTCAACATGGAACGACAACCAGTGAAGACAATTCCCATACACGAACACCTACGACCCCGCCTATGCGACACGTACGAGAATGATAGTATTTTTGATAAGTTTGAGGTGGTTTTCTCTGGAGATGCCGAAAACGTTATGACCGGAAGCTACAATAACAACTTCATGATTTACCCTACCGACCCGGCCAAGGACACCGAGATTGTGCTGCAGGCCGACAAATCTGCCTTCAAGGCAAAGAAGGTTGGCGTACCAACGCCGATGAACAAGGGTGCTAACGGGAAGAAGAGTAACTCCCGGACAAGCAGTCCTGCTGGTCCTGGCAGCCGCATGAAGAAGGAAACCGACGCAGACCAGATCGATTTCAACAAGAAGATTTTACATATGAGCTGGCATCCATTCGAGGACAGCATCGCCATTGCCGCCACAAACAACGTAAGTGTTGTCTATAGTTAGCTGTTTTGTTTTTATATAAGATGCTAACACCCATAACCAATTTAGTTGTTCGTCTTCTCTGCGCTATAAAGCGAGCTGAAGAACCTACTGTAGCTGCAACGGTCGCACCAGCGTGTCAGGGTAATCGGAAACTAATGGCAAGCTACGGGCCCCCATTCAGAACATTCATTTTGTTTCCAACCCTTTCCAGCTTGTCGGAGGTCGCCTACCTCCACTACAAGTCTTTTCATCTGCGCGACCGCTACTTACTATGAGATATTGTTCTCACTCATTCTACTATTGCTCCCAGGGCAACTTTGGTGGTTTGGTTGGTTTCTTGAGGGAGGAGCTGGAAGGGGCGTTTTTCATGGATGTTCACATAGAGCGAGAAGACGCAGGTTACTGCCCCAGAATGTTTCCATCTCCCCTGTTACCTGTATTCACTGCCTGTGTCTAAACTGCAGCTGTACATTTGTCGCATTGGGGGACAAGTTTCTCTCCCACGACTCGCTGTCGCAGTGGACGAGATAGAAAGATTTCATAGTCAACTGACTGGGATTGAATTAGTATTGGAGTCCGCTTAGTGTTACTCAAGTAGATAAGTAATGAATCCGTGGTATTTTCATTCACAATTTTACTCATACAAGGGATGGAGCATTGGATGGATAATGGATGTCAATGACGTAGAAAACTCCAGGTTCCATAACTTGCAGAATTTAACCAATCATGATTCGTGCAGTCAATCATCCCAAGGGAACGTCATTACATTGGCCGGTAACTCGGGAAAACCTGGCTCCGAGAGTTCGGTGCTAACCCATATTGAGATTAATGCGGCCACACTCTCTCCGCCTTCTCTCTTGGAGACTATCCGTGATCGGTCGCGCGCAACCATCGTCGCTCATGAAGTCTGCTGTTTGCTGGCTTGATTAGTCGGTTATACTCCTTCCACCTCCTTTGTCTCCTTTGAGACCCTTCTTTCCTGTATACTTGATCTTTTTTTCGACCCGTATTTCGTCTTTTCTGCGCCTGGCAGACTCGAGATCCAGTGATGTTACTGTGAAATGAGTGGGAAGAGAAACTGATCCGTGCGAAAAGGAATAGAAGCCTGCAGCTTGAGCTTGGGTCGTTACCTGCTTTCTACCTCTTTTTTACAGTGACAGCTCTGTTTCCGAGTGCTTCAAAAACCACTGTCAGTATCAGGTGCTTCAGGGCCCTGCCATCAGCCAGAAAATCATGAACTCAGGGAACGATAATTGGCACTCAGGTGGCCCCCCGTCGCACCCTGGCATGGATCAAATGAATCAACCGCCTCGGCCACTGGGCTCATTTGGGTATGTGATTAAGAGTCCTCAATCTGTTTTATAATTTACAAAAGGGCAATGGCTAATTTTGTTTTTTTTTTTGACTGCCTTACAGCCAAAACCCAAACCCACAGCAAGGTCCGTCTTCGCAGCCCTCTGGGCCTGTCCTCCCTCCTCCAGCCGGTTAGAAATACCTCGTTATAGCCGTATTTGCATCTCATCGTCTTGCAAAGGTGACTGACCTGTATTAACTCATTAGCGCCTTACCATCCTTCCGCCCAACCGGGTGGGCACTCGCTGCCCGGGTTGGCGGAGTTGAGCCAAACCCACGGCAACCCTCACCAACCACCATCCTATGGCCAACACCCCCCTGCGCCATCACATGGTGCTGGGCATTCACTGCCAGGCATCGGCCAGGCAATGCAACATCCTTCTCCGCAGTCGATCAACCAGGAACGTGAGCGCGATTCCAGAGAGCGGGAACTTCTCGAACGACACCGTCAAGAGGAGATGGTACACAGGGAGCGTGAACAGCGTGAGCGTGAGCGTGAGCAGATCGAGCGCCAACAGCTTGAACGGCAACGTGAGCAGCAACACCATCCTGTTCAGAGCCATACCGGGTCAATTCCTTTACATCAGCCCGTGGCATCAAAAGTCCCAAATACTATCCATGCCCCTGGTGGCCTTTTGTCTAGTTTGGGTGCAAATCCGACCAATGGGCCTCAAGGCGCAATGCAAGCGTCTGGTGGCGGACCCGGTGGGATTTATGGCACCCAGATCCCACACGGTGAAGGCACTCCGAGGTCATACATGCAACACGCTGCTGGGCCGCCGGGTCAGCCATTGATGGCATTCAATGGGTCTGGGCCGTCAGTCCCTGGAAACGTTGCAGCTCTTGCTCAGGGCCAACAGCCAATTCTAAACGTGAGTGCATACAATCCTTTGCTATGGCTTACCGAGGGACGATCGAGTTGACGATTTCACCAGGATGCGCTTTCGTATCTAGATCAAGTCAAAGTTCGCTTTGTGGACCAACCTGACGTATATAACCGATTCCTTGACATAATGAAAGACTTCAAGAGTCAAGCGTAAGTAAATCAAATGCCAGTCGAGAGAATCATGCGCTGACCCTTCCAGCATCGATACGCCGGGGGTTATTCAACGAGTTTCAAACCTCTTCAATGGACACCCCGCACTCATTCAGGGCTTCAACACTTTTCTCCCACCTGGTTACCGGATTGAGTGTGGAACCGAAGATAATCCGGACGCGATTCGGGTCACCACGCCGTCAGGCACAAATACTCTTAGCATGCCTCGTACCCGCCATATAGATGGTCCAGGGGACTTGCCCCCCTCTGGTGGGCTTGGACCTCATGGCCGTACTGATTACTATGAGCACTCTCGTCCGGGTTGGCAACAACAACCTCAGTCTCAGCAACCGCAGAGCAGCCTAGCTGGTTCTTATTCTCCAGGCTCCCGTTTAATCGGTGGGATGTTCGGACAGCAAACAGGACAGGGTCAATCGCAGGACCACCATTATGAGTACACAGGTCAACAAGAGCAGCAGTCTTCAGGGGGTGCTGCTGCAACGCACGGGCAGGACCAGCGCGGTGTCTCTCAACTCCAAGGCGCAGCGTCCGCGGCGTCAGCAGGTTTGGGCCGGCCGTCTTTGATGGGGGCTTCTGGTGCTTCTGGCCAAGGAGCCAACTTAAGTCAGCCCATGAATAGTTTGGCAGGTGTTGGCTCTAATGTCCTGCAAGGCGCGCAGGCAGATTTGAAGCGTGGTCCGGTAGAATTTAACCATGCCATCAGCTATGTTAATAAGATAAAGGTTTGTCTATCCCTAGCTTGGTTTATTTGTTGAACCGATAAGGACTAACAGACTAACCTTTCTGCAGAATCGCTTTTCAAGCCGCCCGGAGATATACAAGCAGTTTCTTGAGATCCTGCAAACATATCAGCGGGAGTCAAAACCGATCGGTGATGTGTACACCCAGGTCACGCAACTTTTCAACTCCGCGCCAGACCTCCTAGAGGATTTCAAGCAGTTTCTTCCTGAGTCCGCTGCTCATGCAAAACAGCAGGCCGCGGCGCGTCAAGCAGAGGAGGCCGCGCCTATGAGTAACTTGCGTGGTGACTCGAACTTCCAATCGAGTTCACTCACTTCACAGACTCCAAATCGTGATGTAAAGATGCCACCTCTTGGTAACTTCAATGTCAAGGACTCTGCGAAGGAAGGCAAGAAGCGTAGAAATATGCCTGGAGCCCCTGGCATGGGCGCATCTGGTGTTGGCCCGGCTGGGGGAGTCGATACTGCACGGATGGGCGACTCTCAAGGCCGCGGGCAAACCATGGCAGCAAGCAATGCAAACAAGGTTAGTTATTCTGCAATAATACCCACCAGTTTAACAAAGTCAAGCTGCACACATATACACCTGCCTCTTTCAATCGTTGTGCGCCTTGTTTTGTTGTTGCGCGCTTTTTTTGGTCCTGGGCCTCAAATCCGTCAACTGTGGCAGGTGTAACACAGACCTTGATTTTCTTCCCTACAACCCCTACAACCTTGTTTCCCTTCACACCTTCGTGCTTGAACTACTTTATGATGTTTTTCGAACGCTATGTTGACTGTTATACAGAGAGCTAAGGTCCATCATACAAAACCATCACAGGGAGATGCTCCACTTGTCTCGCCCACTCTTGTCCCAGCTTTGCCTGAGCCTGTTCAGCCAACTTTCTCGTTGACGCCGACACAAGAAGAATTTGCATTCTTCGATCGGGTCAAGAAATACATCGGGAACAAGCAAACATTTAGCGAATTTCTCAAGTTGTGTAACCTCTACTCAACAGACCTTATCGACCGACATGTGTTAGTGAAGAGGGCGGCTGGATATATCGGTTCGAACCCAGAACTTATGGCCTGGTTCAAGCGATTCATGCACGTCGAGGAGCCGGAGGACAAGATTATCGAGCTTAAGCCGAAACAGGAGCCTGGGATTGTCAATTTATCTCACTGCCGTTCACTTGGACCGAGCTATCGACTCCTACCCAAGCGTGAGCGACAGAAGCCCTGTAGCGGACGTGACCAGCTGTGTCGCAGCGTTCTGAATGACGAGTGGGCTTCCCACCCGACTTGGGCGTCCGAAGACTCCGGTTTCGTTGCTCACCGGAAGAATCAATATGAAGACGCCTTGCACCGTATCGAAGAGGATAGGCACGACTATGACCACCATATCGAAGCCTGCAATCGGGCCATTCAGCTTATTGAGCCCATCGTTCAGCAGTTCCTCGTTATGACTGAGCCTGAGAGGGCGTCCTTTAAACTCCCCCCGGGTCTCGGAGGCCAGAGTGAAGCGATCTATCAGCGTGTTATCAAGAAGATTTATGATAGACAGCGTGGAGAGAGAATCATCAAAGAGATGTTCGAGCGACCTTGCCATGTTCTTCCCATTGTTCTGTTCCGATTGAAACAGAAATGCGAGGAGTGGAAGGCTAGCCAGCGCGAATGGGATAAGATTTGGCGTGAGCAGATGCAAAAGGCCTATTGGCGCAGTCTTGACCATCAAGCAATTGCCAGCAAGGGATCCGACAAGAAGCTCTTTGTCGCCAAACATATCCAGACTGAAATCCAAGCCAAGCACGAGGAGGGTAAGAACCTTCGCAAGAGCGGATTTCAAGTTCCCAAATACCAGTTCGAGTTCACATTTACGGATCCGGCGGTGCTCATTGATGCCACTCATTTGCTTCTGGCCTTCATCGATCGCAACTCGGCGGGCTTCGGTGCCGATCCAC